AGTTTCCTCATCTAAAAAGGATGGGGCAAGACTAGGTGACTGCTCAGGTGCCTCTGGATTTAGTGATGGCCAAGGGCTGAATCCCCAGGACACTTTACTGTTCTCGGTGAGCCTTATTTTATTATTATTCTCCCCGGGAATGGCACCGCCTGAGAACCAAGCTGAGAACAGCTCAGGCCCAGCCCCAGGAAGGTTTGCTCTGCTTCCTATGGCCATTTTGGGTCTTGAGGTCTCTTCCCTGCAAAGCTGTCAGCTCTGTGTGGGCGTCCAGTTTTCTCCACATCTCCCCTCTTGCAGACTCTCAGGTGACCTTGGCCACAGCAGGGTGTGCCGGGAGGCACATGAGCTTTGGTATTAAATAGACCCAGGTTCCACCTTGAAATTTGCTACTTAATAACATTTCTAATTTACTGGGGCTTTACCGTGTGCCAGGCACCATATCAAGTGTTTTGTATCAGCTTGTTTACTATAACAACTCTGTGAGGTGGGTATTACCCCCATTTTACAGATGAGAAAACTGAGGTTCAAGGACAGCTCACCTACTTTAAGTCTTTGTTCAAATGCCTCCTTCTCAGTGATGCCCACCCTGACCCACCTACTGTAAAACGGCATTCGGCCTCTATCCCCTCACTCCTAATTTGCCTTCTGCTGCTCTTCGACCCTGCCCCCAAATAGCACTCAGCACCTTCTAATACACTACATACTTACTGTCTTTAGTGCCGGTCATGTGTTGCCAGAACATTCAGGAATCTTTGCCCATGTTGCTCACAGATGTGTATCCCAAGCCACTAGAATTATGCCAGCACTTAGTAGGTGTCCAATCAGTGTATGCAGAGTGGCAACTGGTTAAATGATTTGCTCAGGTGTCAATTTCCTGGAGATCGCCTCCCATAAGGCTTAACACAGGCTTTGGAGCGAGACAGTTGTGAGGTTGAATCACAGCTTTTGCCACTTAGCTAGTCATGTTACCTTAGGAAGTTATGCTTTTTGAGCCTGTTTCTTTGGTAATAACACAGACTAACAGCATTTCTCTCCTAGGATGGGTGTGAGGATTAATGGCGACGCCCACGTAAAGTTCTTGGCATACGGCAGGCGTTCCCTAAATGTTAGCTTCTTCCCGAGGAGGGCTGTTTTCCGTCTTCCTTCTCATTTCTCTCTGACGGCTGACCCCCTTGACCAGTTTGCTGTTCAATAGCGGCTCCTTGCGAGGATGCGCCGCTGAAGGGGGCTGGTGGTATCTGAATTATCCAGCGCCTGCTCCCTCGCTGTCCCTCTGCCTCCTTCCAGGATGTGCCTGTTGCCAAGGAGACAGCATCAGCCCTGACGGACTGGCTGGGGTCTGGCCCACACTGGAGAGAGGCGATGGCCGACCCTGGGAAGGTTGCCTCCTGGGCTGAGTGTGGAATCTGCTGGGCAAACCCAGCGGGCTCCTCGAGAAAGTCAAGCGCTCACCCTCCCGTCTGCATGCGGCTCTGGGGACGTGACTGGCATCCCTGTTCGGAGGCTGGAGTGGCCGGAGTTCCTGCTTGGGCTGCAGTCCAGTAGGGCTGGTGGGGTGTGATGCCCGGACCCTGGGAGGGGGCCATAGCAGCCAGAGTGACACATAATCAAACTCCTGGCCCTCAGAATGGCACCTCCCCAGAGTAGGGCTGACAACTGAGTAGACGCTCGAAGAGGCCCTGTGGGTGATTCACAATTCTGTGTCCAAGAAGGCTGGCCAAGCTGGCCCAGTGAGAGAACAGCACGCGCACTGCCATCTCTTCTTGTAGCTTGAACAAGACCGTGGGGAGGCTGTCTCAGATTCCAGGTGCTCCAGGGACTCCATTCCTTCCTTCGCAACCCATCCTTTGATCCTGGGCAGCACGAGAGGTTGTGGTTTTTGCCTAACCAGTTAGCCACCCAAATGGGGAAGGAAGAAGCTGAGGTTAGAGCACAGGCTGGGGGCTGGGCTGCCCTGATAGAATCCTGTTGCTGTCTGTCCCAGCCATGTCACTCTGGACAAACCATTCAGTTTCTCTGTAAAACTGGGACAATTAGAGCTCTTGCCTCTTGGGATTGTTGTAAGGATCAAACGAGTTGATTCTTGTAAAGAGTTCAGATCTGATGCAGACACTCTGAGCTCACTAAATGTAAGCTACTATTGTCATTTTATAGGGTACATTCCTGGAAAGAGGAGTAGTCTTGGGCAGAATAAAAATGGTATTATTTTTATTATTTGGCTTTTCTTGAGAAAATGGGGTGTTCTGGCACTGCCAGCCCATCTTCCTGCTCTGCTGGAGTGAGTCCTGGCTGCCCCCTCCAGATGGGCCCAGCTCTTGCATCAGCATGAGCCCTCCCAGGCCCATTCCATTATGGGTCAGCCCCAAGGCATTTGCTATTTCTGTTAGAAACTCAGATCCAGCATAAGCCAATAAAGATGTCAGGAGCAGGGCTAGGGGGCAAAGAAAAGACTGAATTGTCTATGTTTAGAAGGGGAAGGCAAGAGTTAGGGCCCCCATGGGCCTCAGAGGCAGGGTGTTAGAAGAAAGAGGGGGATGGGAATCCTGGGCCTGACAGCTTGGGTGTGGTTCTGTGCCTGCGCATCTGTGGCTGGTTCAGCACAGAACAGCGAATGTCCTGGACTGAGACACTTGGCTCAGAAAGTCCGGACTCCTGGCCCACTGGGAAGGCCCTGTTATTTCAGAGTAGGTAATGTTGAGTTGGTTCACTACCCACCTGTCCTCTGTATCTTTTAGCCTCATATTTCTTCCAACACAAGCATCTTGGGGGCAGGGGGTTTGAGACACTCCTCGGAGGGACCTTGTCATGGGGGGGTCCTGGTGCTTGTCACACAGATTCTCAATGAACGCTTGTGAAATAAATATATGAGTGATGAACAGATGCAGAGAGCTTGCTTTCGGGTATAGCAACCCCCAAGTTTAGCTCGACCTCTTAGAAAGCCCCTCTGAGTCCCATTCTATCCCATGCACTGGGCTCTGGCAGTGTGGGGACAGCAACCACGTCACTTTTACTTACCACTGTATACCCAGAGCCTAGCTCAGTACCTGGCACATAGTAGATGCTTAACCAACATTTGTTGAATGAATGAATGAGAAATTCTAAGGGAAAGCCTTCTTACCTTGGAGTTGGGATATTGTAGTTGTGCTCTTAGCAGCTGGTGGGACTTTCACCTCCCCTTAGTGACTCATCTGGCCCCACCGACCAAGTAGGATAAAACAAGACAAATATGCCGTCTTACAAGAAACCCAAAGTGCAGGTATTCACGGCTACTGCCTACAAGCCGTCCTCTGAAGTTTGCTGTCACCCTGAATCTCCCGATGTCCTTGGCAGGCTGCCTCACTAGCTGTCCTGTCCCTTATTTCTTGTGTGTGCAGCCAGTCAATGGACACTGTTATCTTGTCATTTACCATTGCATCTGGAGCCATCACCTCTGTGGGTTTTGGGTTTTACTTATCTTACTATCTTAGATCCACTTGCTTGTTTCTAAAAAGGCAGCATCTTCCGGAATGACTAGGGGACAGTCTGAACGGCGACAGTGCTGTCGGCTGCCCGCCCTGACAAGGTGGTGCGGCCGGGGAGGGCTCGTCCTGGCCCGGGGGCCAGCTGGCTGTGACCTTGGGCAAAGCAGGCCAGCTCTCTGAGCCTCGTCTGGGCTCTTTGAGATCTTTAATCCTAGTCAGCGCCTAGGATGGGCTTCCCAGAAGTGGAGTGATTTTTTAGTTGGTGTATGCTTTTCTGTGAAATTAAAGCTGTTTTTATTTGAAAACTTTTCATTCAAGCTCCTGCTCTGAGTATAAAAACAGCACTAGCTACAAGGCATTCATGTTTTGTGATTTATTGAGAGTATTAATATTATATCAGAATGTGGTCGTGTATTTTTTTGTTAAATATGTTTTAAAAAGGCTTGCCGCATATTGATGTGTGATTTTATTACATCTTGGGGCGACTCTTTTCTCCAGGAAGAGTAGATCTGCGGCTGATGACGACCCTCGCGCCGGGTGTGGGCGCTTTCCAGGGCCGCGCCCTTCCCAAGGGCGTCCGCCCGCCGGCGCGTCCCGTTCCCACGCCCGCTGGGCAGGAGCCCAGGTCCGAAGGGCCTTCCTAGAACTCGGGGAAACCCGAGACCACCCCGCCTGTGTCCAGCCGCCCGCGGCGGTGCGTGAGGAAAAAGGGCTTTAGGGATAAACCGGCTCAATCCTCCCCTTTCGATCAGGGAAACTGAGGCCCAGAGCGGAGAGTGACTTTCCCGGGTCCAGCGCCGCGCGCCCACCCCTCCGGGTCGGAGCCCAGCTGCCCGGCGGTGCCGCCCGCTCTGCCGCTCGTGCCCAGGGCGCCTTCCCGGGCTCGCTGCCTTTCCAGGCGCCCGTGACGGAAAGGCCGCGGCTGACCCGCATTCCAACCAGCATCCCCTTTGCCCCAGACGCGTTTCCTTCCCACCAGCTGGGCGCTGATATCTAGCAGAGAGTTTATTGGCAGAATTTCTCCAGAAAGAGGCTGGAAGACTTAGCAAGTTCAAGCTTTAACATTTTTATCACACTTTTCCCCTCCCATTATCACGACGAACCCCCCACCAGGCTTTCTCTACCACAGGAAGTCGGGGCGCACGGAGCGGAAACAGCACGGGGGTGGGGTGGGGGGAAGCAGGCACGTGATACGTTATGAGTCAGCGGGGCAGGCAGCCGCCGGGCACCCATCTTTGTTAAGGGCAAAGTGAGCCGCTCAGGACACCGGAGGATACAGAAAGGGCAGGACTAGCTCGATTCTTCCGGCGTGAGGGAGGCTGGAGTGAGGATGAGGGGAGACTTCCCTGTTTTCTCAGAAAACATGCAAAGAAAGGCTTCACACAACTAAGGTCATACAAATATCAATATCCCCAAACTTCCCTTTTCAAAGATGGCTGCCCCCACGGGCCGTTCGGAGAGCTCGCAGCAGAATCTGCTGGGCGTGGGGAGAGAGAGTCAGGCAGCGGGAGAAATTTAGTTTTTCACAAAGATGGTTGGTTTTTTTTTCCTTTATTGATGGAATTTAAAATGCATATAACTGAAGGCAAAGTCCAAGGCCTAGAGAAAGAGATGAGGCCCGAGAGAGAGGCTCAGAGATTCTAAAGGCGGCAGAAGGATACCCACCTAAAAAGGCCACTTGAGCTGCAGAAGGATGGAGCAGGGAGGCAGAACATGG